CTCAAATCATACTTTGTACTAGTTGGCAGAGGTAACTTATGCGTCCCATTGATACTAGTGTAATTAGAATGAATGGTAGGTAGGAGTGGATTGGTAGAGAATCCAATTCGGAACTCAGACGAAAAACTTATTGCATGTCACTGAAATTGTTGGTTCCATGCAGAACTAACAGCACGAGTAGATTAGGCATTCATCTTAAATCATTCAGAATGTTCTAACCTTAACTGGAAAATACTGGAATAGGCTAAATATTGCACTAGAATTTTCGAGAGGAAGCCAGACCTAGATTTGGGACAACCTTGAATGCAAATGACAGACTAAGTGGCATTCGATTGGTTGGAAGTTGGCCCAATGCTAAAAGTGCAAAATTGAAGTGTGTGCGTACACTAGGCGAAATCAGCCAATGCCAAAAGTCCTAGAGGAATCTAGTGCTTCATGAGTGGTTAGAAGTGAATGAACCAATGAAGTAGTGAGAGGGAATAGATATAAAAGAGAACAAGCGATTGAGTCTTCATACAATTTTTGGCTTGAAAGTCTCTACACGAACTAAATGTCAATCACTCCTTCACGCGATATATACGACTTGGCGCAAAGAAGACGCAGTCTTCTCGATTGGCAATTCCCTCAATTGGCATTGATGCCATTCGACGAGGTGGCAAATTGGATTGAACAAGATGATGAGTGAGATGAGTGCCATCGAGCCTCGTGAATTCCACCCTGAAGCGGAGTTCACTGAGGTTGGTGCACTGGACTTCCTGAAAGATGCCTACGAAGTAGGGAAAGACGGCAAGGTTGGTAGAATTTGTGCTCTTGCTTGAGTAGTTGAGGCATTGATAATGTGGTAGTGACTTGTTTGCCTTGCAGCTCCACTTCAAGGTGTACTTCAACGCGAAGAACTTCAAGCCCGAGGAGATCACTATTCGCACGGACAAGAATAGGCTGATTGTTGAGGCGCAGAAGAGTGCGTCGCAACGTGGTGCAGTGATGTCAGAGTCTGTGGGACGCTCAATCCCTATTCCTCCGTCTGTTGATCGCAAACAGCTGAGCTCCACTCTCACATCGGTAGGTTTCCACTTCCACCTTCCCCTCATTCCACTCATGCTCCTTCTCTAGGATGGTGTGTTGGTAGTTGAGGCGCCTGTTGATGAGCCCAATTACAAGGCAATCAGACTGCAACCGGAGGGCGGTTTGGCTATTGAGCCGAGTGAAGTGGAGGAGAGGCAACTGGCAGTGAGAAGTAAGGAATTGTTTAGATGTAATCTGACACTTTCAATTTAGACAAGGATGGTGTGGAAATAGTGACGGGAGAGGATGGATCGAAGAGAGTGCATTTGGAGCTGGCAGTTGATGGTCACTTTGGACCGAAGGACGTGAAAGTGTGGGCCAAGGGCAACAAGGTGTACGTGCAGGGATCAGTGAGGAAGGAGGAGAAGACGGGCGAATCGACTCACACTGAATCGCGCGAGTTCTACAAGGCGTTTGTGACGCCGGGTGTGATGGATGGTAGCAAGGCTCAGGCGGAAATTGGCGATGGTCGTTTGGTTGTCGAGGTTCCCTTGTACAAGTGAAAAGTCAATTTAATGAATAAATGTTGTCGCATATTACCTCGAGTGTCTTGCCATTTTGTTTTTCGTGTTGTTGAATGCAATCGTTTCCTTCCTTCGACTGTTTCATTGTCAAGGTCGTAACTAGAGGCATATTTCAGAGTTGTAGCTTGTTCATTGACATCGTTTTAGCTGTGTGTCCGACGTGAGGTCATGTTGAGGCTTGGGGACATGAAGGAGTGGCATTTATTGGTGGAATTGAGTGAAGGAGTTGTGAAATTTGCACTTTTAGATGTGAGACTACCCTTTTAGTAAGCATTGGGCAAACTGAGTCCAAATTACATATAGCTAAGAGTGTAGGCTACTCTTAGTTAGTTCTCAATACTATTTGTATTTAGTAGTTTCCCACAATGGAAGGAATTGGAAGAATCGCGTTTTTTACCATGGTTGGTATTAATGGCATTGAATAGGTTATTTGTGGAAAATATGGCAGCTAAGAGAAATGGAATTGATTTTAGTTAATTGATGCCAAAAATGTTTCAGAAATGTTGACTCAGATTGGAGATAATTATTCGAATTTGGTAGGTTTTCCTATGGAAGTTATGGGGTTGAGTAGAGTAGTAGTTAATTTCTGATACGCATACCACCTGTCCAGACAGCTCATTTTTCTGAATTAAATTTTCTGAGCTTAAATTTTCTGGGTTACTCTGAGATATTAGGCTATTTAGTGTCCTTCGATTGTTTTAATTAATTTTTTCCATTTGATTTGTTTAATGAGTCTGTTTATCTTTTTTGCCAATTTTCCAATTCTTTTTTTGTTATTTATTATTTAAAAGATTGTTAGATAGAAAATATTATTGAATTGATTTAGTTCACTTTTAAATTTTAAATTTGATGCGTTTAAAAGTCAAGCGGAGCAGCAAACAGCGCTCTTCCACTTCGACGCACACACCTCCGCCCCATTCTTTCGCTTCTCTGTCTACGACATGATACCCCAAATGGACTTGCAGAGTTCACTCAAGTACTTGTCTCTGTAACTCCTGATTCATGAAGTGTCCTAGCCAAATTCAAATCCAATTGTAGGTGAATAAATAAACGTTGAAGATGAATTTTAAATAAAGTATGCACCTTGTTTATCGTTTGCTAACCATTTCACTAATTCACACTTGAAATAACCATGACCAATTTGACCCACTAACGGCTTAGCACGGATAGGCTAATCGAAGAAGAAAGAGCTCGTTACGTCCTTTGTCGACATGGAAGGTGGCAACAGAAATGATTTACGATCGATCACATCACAGCACTTCATACCTCTTATTAATTGAGAATGTCACTACACTTATTCACGTGTTTTGCATTGAGTCAACTTCCAACCACTCGAATGGTACCCACTTGCATTGTCTTATGCTTTCTACGTTATACCAAGTCTAGTACTTGTCTTATCTGGACGATTCCAGTGGCTCCGAGTCTGTAATAACGGCCAATTCTAGCGAGCATTGTCCTCCCCTTGCTTTAACCAACCAAGTAGGCGTCATCTGCCTCCAATGTTCTAGAAATGTCGAGAAGTCGTAGCTTCAATCGCGCCACAAGCCTCAGATGTGTTCTCAACTTAGACATATGTGGTAAGCTCCACTACGTCACGTGACCACAGCCTCTCTGTACATACAACTTAAATGTGATAAACAGAATCTTCCCATTAATTTTAGAAACAATTCATCCAATGAACAACTGTGAGTCATCTCAACAACCGACTTTAATCGATAGAAAATATTACTGATTACTTCAGTTGAGCCGGTTGTTTCCATAAACAGCCATATTTTTTCCAGTAAGCAGATGTCTCACAACATTGCACCATTAGTGCTCAAATCTGTGCCACACCGTGTTAAACCTTGAAAATTTCTCAATTTGA